GGCAGTGGCAGCACATTAGAAACTTTACCGATTTGGCTGCTATAAGCTAGACAGGTAGAAAAAAAAGACCACTTGAACCCCCAGAGCCTGAAATCTGTGGGTGATTCAGAGGAAAGCAAAAAAAAAAGCAAAAAACACGTGCCAAATTACTCCAAAATGGAAAATATTCCTTCCTGACCCCCAAAGGCAATCTCAGAACACCCTGAATCACCATTCTTTCATTTTATCTCTTATATGTACTACTACTAGCTTTTATATTTTGTGCTCAGATAGAACCACTTCTTGCGGAGTTCTGTTCCACAATTTCACCGCTCTTACAGTAAAAAAAAAACCTTTCTGTTGGATAGACGTCTTTTCCTCCAGCTGCAAAAAATTCCATTGTGTATATATAAAAAACAAATTTCGCTTTTAAAAGGAGAACTATGGGGTTAAGTCTTTTCTCCATAGTTCTCCTTAGGGTAACGGGAGGACATAAACTAGCGTCCTCCCGTCACCCTAGGCTCAGTATACCGCGAGCTGTAGCCCAGCTGCGTGACTGACAGCTGGCTCTGCCTATCTAGAGGCAGAGCCAGCTGTACCCGCCCCCTCCCCCGTCCGTTCCGCCAGTCAGCGCTGGCGGATCGGAGCGGGGGGAATCCAGCCCCTCCCCTGTCACGGCAGAGAGCCGTGATAGGATCGAGAGGTGAGCGAACGCCGGTATCTGTTCGCTCACCTCCCGATCTACTGAGCCGACCTGTGACAGTCTCATTGTCACAGGTCGGCTAGAACTATGAGGTGAGTAAAAAGCACTCACCTCATAGTTCTCCTTTAAGTGTAGATGGAGGAATCTGTTGCACCTTTTCCATCTGACCATAGAAAATCTGCAGATAATTGTAAGTTTTAATTTGTGTGCTAATAATCTCATAACACGTGTGGCGGTAAACGCTGTGATGCCTGTACAGGACAGCGTTACGGTTCATGTTAAGATTCTCGAAGTGCGATCTCTACCCTTACTATAATGCCACAATGTGTCACTCATGTCCGTACGGAGGGTAGTGGTGAGCTGTGATTTATTCAGGCGGAGAGATCTATTAATATAGACGTTTCATAGACTGTTACAACATATCTTGTAGTATGAAGTGTAGATTGCCCCACAGCACTGACTTCCTGAGAGACCATGGTTTAAAATCCTCTACAGCTCATCAAATAGGGGTAGCTGGTAATAATGGCCTTAGAAATTATTCCACTAACTCTGCCACGCATAGAGATACCTAATATGTGTTGTACAATCTGCATTTACACATACAGTATGTGTGTCCTAGGTGTACTCTTTTTATATGCGTGTGCAGGGGTCCTTTAAATTCAGAGGCATGTTGAGATTTGAAGTTAAAGCGCATCTGAAGGGCCGCAGTTGCCCACCGTGGATTAGAGTGATGTCATATTCTCACTTAACAGCCACCGCAGATCTTGCATGAGGCGAGTTTTTAAAAAGTAGACCACCAATAAATATAATACATCAATTCTTTACCACGGCACCAATGTGGAGATGCAAGTGTCAGCAAACATTCATGGCTCTGTAGCTACATAAAGCCTATACTGCAGCTCTCTCTGTGTCTTTATGTATTGGAATCCATTGGTTGTCCTGAGGGAACAAAAAGATGGGATTTGGCTGGGCCGGCCCCACCAAAAAGGCCCTTCATGCCAGGTCTAGGTAGAGCTGGGGAGTCTATAAAAGAGCTCACCATTGAGGAATATTAAAGCCATGGTGTGATCCGATCTACCACCACCCACCCATCATTTACATAGCCATTGTGGGTGCACTTAACCTTTTATTTTACATTTTGGTTTTGTTCAGTAACCACTGCATTTTTATTTAGACTCCATTAAGGTAACATAAGACAAATGGCACCACAACTGGTAACAGTTTCAGGCAACAGGCCCTTTGTAGGCTACAAGACGTCTGAGCTAAAGAAACTACAATGTATCTCTTAGGTACCATTCGTACCCGGGCGTATCGTGAATACGTCAAACGTGTACGCTTCGACACACATTCACGATGCATTTACAAACACGGGGCTCCTTTACGTTGCTATTGCTAGGTAATGGCACTCCAAACACAGCCGAGCAAACTCGGTTTTTCCCTGCACGGAAAAGACACACGGAATGCATGTCACTAAATTTGCAACATGTACTTCTTTTCCGTGAGTGGCACGCATATAGGGACCCAAACAGGATCGATGGAGACGCCTGCCAAACACGGAAAACAAAGTCCTGCAAATGTGCGGGAACGTTCATTTCGGTAATACGCGTCCCTGCTACGCCCTGGTGTGAACGGGGCCTTAGAGCAGAAACTGGAAGTGACCTAATTCAATCAATCAATCAATCACAAGAGAAGTAAAACAACCCACAATAAATACTTAAAAGTCTATTTATAACTCTTTACCCAGCCATACGCTGGTCGAATGCCGTTCGCACAGAATTCCCAGCACTAGATGGAGATGAGGAGCATAATTCGTCTGCTCCTCGGCTCCATCTAGTGGTTGGAATGCCGTGCAAACAGCATTAGCCCATGTAAAGTGTGGGTGGAAGAGTTATAAATTAGACTCCATAGTGTTCAAGTTGTCACATCGGGATAACAATGTACAGCAAGATTCATCTTCATATCTCATAGAATATATGTAATTAAAGTTATAAAAAAATAGTTTTTTACCAAAACATAAAGAAATCATAATCTGAATTGAGGCCTCTCGGCTGTACGGTATCAAACCTAAGGATCCATTCCACCGCTTTTCCTTTTAGGTTTTTCCTCTTCCCTCTCCCTCTTCAATCCCAGCAAATGATCGATAATTACATAATGTAGCTGTGTGACCGAATGTTTTTGTTCAATAAAAAGTCTGCCAATTTGTTTCTTATTTACAGAGTATTTGTGTCTAGCAATGCGTTCTTTAATTCTTTGTTTCGTCTCCCCAAAGTGACATTGGGCGCTTGATTAAATAAACTACAAAACTCATCTGGCAGGTAAAGTAACCATTATGTCTGTGTATGATCTTTTCAGAGTGATGATGGGTGAACGTTCTCCCCTGATGAGGTTAGAACAATGAATGTAAATGTCATGGACAACTCCCTTGATATCCTCATTAAAGGGGAACCATCACCCATCCTCTGTTCTCTCTCACTCTCAAACTCTCAATCTGTTTCACAGCTATGCTTTGTAATTATTGATCATGTGCCGAGATTGAAGAGAGAAGGGAGAGGGGAAAAAAATCAAAGTAAGAGAGGTGGCATGGATCCTTAGGCTTGATACAGCCAAGGGGAGATTATGATTTCTTTTTGTTTTTGCAAAAATCCCTTTTTTTAAAATAACTTTCTTACATATATCTATGGGATAGGATGCTGAATCCTGCTGTACAATGTTATCAAGATGTGACAACTGGAATACTATGTATATGATTTGTGTTGTTTTCTTTCTTTATTGATTGATTGATTGATTGGAATGAAGGCATTTCTGGTTTTCTGCTCTAAGAGATACATTGTAATTTCTTTTTGCTCAGATGTCTTGAGGACTGACGAAGGTCATGTTGCCTGAAACTGTAATATATATATATATATATATAGTGCCAACAATTTACACTGCGCTTTTACATCAATCCCTGCCCCCAAGGAGCCAATTAACCTTCCAGCATGTCTTCGGAGTGCGAGAGGAAACCAGAGTACCCGGAGGAAACCCACCACAGGGAGAACATGCAAACTACATATATTACTAAAGCTGAGGCTCCCCGAACCGAATGACATTCGGGAGCTCCTGAATGCATTTCTGGAAATTCGGATCCCGAATGCCATTCTGGTCTGGGAGCCTCAGCTTTAGTATTAATATCTGTATATGGTTTTTTGTGGTATTCGCAGCGAATATTCGTAAACTCACCTGAAACTAACAAAAATTTGGATTTCGACTGAATTCCAAACCCGAACTGAATTGAATTTCGGATACGAATCCCGAAATAATTAAATATCCGAACCGAATTATTCCGCAGCTTACATGTCTATATATTATTATTATGTATACTAATAATATTATATATACTATCTGCAAGGTGTATATGGCTCCCAGACCCGAATGGCATTCGGCAAATCCCAAATGCAATTCAGAAATTCGGATCCTGAATGCCTCAGCTTTAGTATGATATGTATACTGTATAGGGCTCCCATGTTGCCGTAGCGAAAATGCGTGTTCAGACCCATTTGGATGCATGAACCAAAAAACACATCTGATTGGCCAGAAAAGTCACATGTCTGATTCAGTTTCTTTTTTTTGAGCGAAATTTGGACGGGATCCGAAATTCGGAAACGGAAATTCGGATTTGGACACATTCGGATGCATTGGGAACCGGAAATTCGGAAGTGTCCGAATGTCCGAATTTCGGAAAATGCGTCCGAATTTTGATCCGGAACGAAACAAATCGCACATGTCTAATAATATGTATATATTTTTTACATATGTGCATTTAGCCATGTATCTAGAGTCCAGCTTTTGCTTGGTATCTGTCTGTTGCAATCCGCGGCAAAACACATGTTACCGAAACGTGCGGTAACTCAACATCAGCAGCGTGATGTTTCCATATGGCCTTATGCAGCTGCAGAGAGAGGAATGTCCTGGCGATAGATGATTGGGCCAGCACTGACAGGTTCCTTCCTAGTTGAGATGAACTTGGGTTTGGTCCAAGCCCAAGCTCATCCCTAGTTCCCAGCTATCTCTAAGGACTACAGAACACTTTACCCTATGTTATGAAGCAGAGGAGAAGGGGATGTGTTCTGTTATCCTAGCACACTTCCTGACTTCGGGTGACAAAGCTGTTCTTTTGTAGAGTACGGTGAGTTTTGTCACCCTGGGACAGGAAGTGTGTTACTGGCAGGGGAAAATAAAGCAAAAAAGACTCAACATGCCTCCACATGAGTTATTTGCTAGATATTACATTTTTGTTCTGATCCATCTTACAATTGTTCTGTCTTTCTTTGCAGAAGGCCTCCTAATATCAGCGATGGCATCACCTGAGACGTACAAGATACCCCCATCTGGCATATTTCTGTCTCTGTTCACCGATGAACCCCCAGACACCCCAATGATGGGAGGACCTGCACAGGATCTCAGCGCTATTCTACAGGGAGGTGAACGGTTGAAATCCAGGAAATTCCAGTGCGCCAGTCTGGACAACAAGAATACTTCATGGCATGACGCATTGTGTCTGTGGGCGGCCAGTGATCAATACACATCAATTTATGAAGAGTATAGGGAATCGAAGACACAAATTCTGTCTCTCCTCCCTTCTGCAGCACACCTAGTAGGTGGGTTCTAGTAGCATCTTCATTTACCGGATCACTAGATGTATAGCCTCAGAGGTGTACAGTAAGACAATATATGATATGCAAGGTCCAAAAACCCACAGGAACCAATCAGAAATCACCTTTCACTGATCTTACTCTGGTAAACAGAAATCTGAATAGTTGCCATGGATCATTGCGCCCATGAGCGTTGGTGCCACCACAAGATAACCATATGTGTTTCAATCGAAATGGCCCAGGGACTAATTCCCTATATTAAAATATTCTTGTTGTGGAACCATCTTGGTTTAATTCCTGATTATTGAAGGGACTGTCCTTCCAAAACGAATATTTAAGTATTTGGTAGATACAGGAGACTTAAAGCACCTGACAGCCTCTTATGGCTTTTGTGGACTCTGTTGGTGACATCTCTTTGCTGGGTTCCCGGGTCTTCACACCTGCTGTGCCCATTACAAGGGGCTCCCACCATCCTTCCTGGATTTTCTTTTAATGTTTTATTATGAAGCATGTTCATAAAGAAGCTGGAAAACACAAATTTGGAATGGAACACTGAAAACTCATTGGTGGACAGGAACAGAGTTGAAGTTATAGCGGGGGGATCTCACTGGTGGAGTATCTTAGACTTTTAAGAAGTCAAGGGCTAACTCAGTCCACCAGGCTCTTCCTGTAACCATAAAAACAGTTCTAGATTGACTGGCCCTTTAAAGGGATTTCAGATATGTACAAATAGAAATATCTACATAAAAGAACAAGTAAAAGAAGAAAATGGCTTTTCTGCAATACTGTGGAAACGAATACCAGCCAATAAGACTTGGCTGGAAGTCAAATGTTATTGCTGATTTGTTATTTTAGGAAGTCCAGTGTTAGATACCTTCCTCCAGTTTGTAGTAGTAACTGTCATTTTGCTTTTTCAGAGCACTCGTGGAACCTTCTTTTCTGGAGGCAGGAGAACAGCAGCCACATTACCTGTGAGATACAGTATGTGACGGAGGACACAAATATGAATGAGGAGCTCAGGCTTAACCTGTCCTATACACGGTAAGTGTATGTATTATCATGGGATATGTCTAACAACCTCAGTCAGGTTTGTATTGCGTTTGTGAAACTGCAGTTGGGAGGCGCTGGATCCAAAACTTGGGTTCCTCTTTAATGAAAGCAGTCTACGGTGGTGGATGTAATGTACCTGGCTAAGCACCTTCAAATAACACGAAGGGTGCCACTACAAGGTCCTTGGATCAAGAACTACAGATAAGGAAAATGAAGCGCCAACCTAATTATTGAGAGTTATCAGGACACATAATCATATCCCTCCTTACCATCTTGTCTTGATTTGTATTGTGATTGTAATGTCTTCCTTATTTTGTAAAGCGCTGCTCAAACTGTTGGCGCTATATAAATACTGTATAATAATAATATCCAATTTGGTACTGATCTTAATATTGATGTGTCGCTGACTGGATCCATAGGGTATAAGGAGACCGGACAATGTGCCTGTCATGCATCCTCTAAATTGACCAGCACACTTGCAAAATATCCCAAGAACGCACAGTTTCCTAATCCGAACACGGGAAGCAACTGAAAATCAGCATGCCCACACTATAATATCCACAGGGTCGGTTCCACCACCTGCAATTTGTCAGCTGGCTGGTCTGCAAGACAACCATACGCACGCATATACACAGGTCCACGTTGCTGGCAATGAGATCTGCCGATGCATATAACAGAGGCGATAGCTTCCAATTACTAACAATATTCTGCATGCAGTCAGATTGGCAGTCTTTTTCTCTGTCAGCCAACTGCTGCAATTACAGAAAACCTGAGCATGCAGCCATACAATACAATAACAAAATTACAGGCACTGGTAGCAACAAACAACTAAGCTTACATGCAATGGTACAGAAAAAAACAAAGAACACAGCAATCTCTTTAGGAGATATGATTTATTTGCTTAGTACACAGAAGGCCAACCTAATCATTTTATATTTACTATCCCCCTATGCGGGCAGTGTACAGAATAATGTACAGAAGTAATAATTATAAAGAAACAAGAGAGAAAATGACATGTAGAGATGTTGGCTGCTTGCTATACCGCTGTAGAGATGTTGGCTGCTTACTACCCCCCCCC